AACAAGGACCCCCCCCCCCCCCCCCCAACATAAAATTCATAGAAGAATCAACCACATTCTTGCATAAAATTCATATTAGAACCACTCTTCCCTAATCATTTTTACCCAAGGCCTCAAATTGTGCATCGACCCTTGATAATTTATACTCAAGTCTCCATGACAAGTGGACTTTCACTATTTATACCAAGACCAGAAATACTTGCCTCAAGACTCATCATATCAACCGTCGACAATTTATACTTGAGGCCTCAACACCCAGTAGTGACACCATCCCTCAATAATTAACACCAAGGCCTTAATATTCACTTACTTTCCTTAAAACAATACCAACCATCAATCATTTATACTTGAGGTCATGATATTCTCCATACTCTCCTTTATCACAAACGCAAGGTCTTCTGACCCTTTTCACTTACCAGCTTGACAATTGCCCATGTATGCACATCCTATACATGCTTTTTAGACCTGCTGCTCACGCTTTAAAACACAATCATCATGCTTAGTTTCAACATCACATCATGTTTAACATCACAAGAGCGTAACTCAACATGACACATCAAAACACTATCCATTCAATACAGCATTCAATTCAATCACTTGTATCAAACAAAGCATGCACCATACAAAACATACAAGGATACCAAAGCATATAGCAAATGGAATCCACAAATTCAAATTACTTACAACACGTCCTACGGCGCTTCGAAGTTGTTCTATCAATTCCTGAAACAATAAAGGAAAGTGTTTGGAGTTAGAATTTGGTTCGAAATCTTTAATTGAAAATGCAAAGGTGTTTAAGAAGGCTTACCAACTAGTTTTCACCCAATGTTGACCTTAAACCTTAACTTGATTAGTTCAAACCTAAATACAGAAGAGTTTCAAGAGTTAAAGCCTGATTTACAGCACTTAAGGGTTTAGAATGAGTCATATCCACTAATTCTTACCGAAAAAGCTCGGCACATTGCTGGTTTTTGTTCGAATGGGTACGACTTCACAGATCTTACTTCTGTTGACTACGGTTAATCCGATTAGAGGCTATTCGGAGCATGGGTCACAAAACTAGCGATTTGGAGTCCTTAGAGGGTGGTCTTCGATGCTATTCACGGCGTCGTGAGTTGGGTTGATGCAAAAAAATTGCCGCAGCTTCTTGGGTAGTCACCTTCAGGAGTCAATTGCGTCGTGGCTTCCGCTGAACGTGGAGTAGATCGCCACCGCAGTGGAAAACGCAAGTCGTCAGGGAGGAGCTAGAACAGTCCGGGGAAACCCTCGCCGTCGCTCAAAACCGGCGGTACCGAATTCGCTTCAAGGTCATGCGCCGCCGCCGCGAGTGCACTGCCGCTTAAGGTCTGATTTGTTGCTGTGCGTGGCTCGCAGAACTCGTGGGTCGTTTGTCACCCGGTCGCCCAGTCGCCCAAGAACGCACTGCCACTACTGAAACTGTCGCTCAGCTCGCGGTTTTCCGATAGCCTACGTCGTGGGAGAAGAAGGCTAGAATAATCACTCTTGTTATTGGCATAATTGATTTACTTCTAGATTATTTTTCTACTACTCAGTGCTTGAAGGATGGTTTGTTGAGCCTGTATGATCATATGCATGATAGACCGTACATTAACTCAAGCGATTGAAACGTGTATTTCTCCTCGCAGAGAATAAGCACTAGAAATGGATTAAGACTAGGGTGAGAGTGTCAATTTGGTTAGACTATGACCTAGGATGAAACGTCTTCGATAGATCGAATGCATTAAAATCTTGAGAGCTTATCAGAGGGTGTGGCCTAGTGCTTTTGACCGATCAAGACTCAAGAAATTGAAATTGAGGAACCTGGAGACGTGAATCCATGTCAAGACTGCCAAACTACCTTAGAAATCTCGAAGAGCATCACGACAACCCTGGAAAATAAAGGTAACTTTTTGGGCTAATAACAGTTGGTACAATGTATGCGGAGCTTCCACATTCCTTTCTACTTTGGTATAGTATCATTGAGCTAAGATATGAGTGTTGGGTTTTATGTCCTAAAACTCATAGTTTGTAAACAAAAACATATTCTATTTTCAATAAAGTTATTATGTTGTTTATTCAGTAAAGATTGTTATTGAATAAAGTGAACTTTACGATCATTAATCTAAATCCAATAAACTAAGAACACTCTGGCTATAGTATGATTACTTGAACTATATGTAGAGACATAAGAGTGGATCAAGTTCAAGTATATAGTCAAAATGATCTATAGTATAAGGCTGAGTACCTTATTCTGGGACACTATGGATGCGGCCCACTTTTGTATATGATATAAACAATGTGATCACTAAATTGTACATGTGAAGACATGTGAGTGGGGGCGTCCTATGCAATGAGTATTGCATAAGATCGGACCATGAAGAAAACCACTCTCACTTTATAATGTCGTTTATTGTTTGAGACTGATTTTCTTTTCATTCAATAACCTAGGTAACTCGGTTTTAATCCTGAGCTAACCATGAACTCTTGTTTATTCGGAATTATCCTTTGCCGACTCAATAGGCCTCCCATTTCAGGGGCAAGACTGGGTGAATGGCTGGTGACATGGGGTGCAAGATGGAATTCACTCCTATCCACTTTTAGGGATAGAAGAGAGGTAGTTCCCTTAAGCACTGACTCCAGGTCTTGAACAAGGGGCCCCACCCTCTCATTGGCCTGAGAGGGATTCGGTTTACTGGTTGGACCACAAACCAATTGTTCATTAGAGGATCAGTGAGACATAAAGAACAAGAAGTAACTTCAGGGGTAAAACGGTAAATTGACCCAGCTCTAGTTACGAACAACCTGTGAAGGATCGACTTACTAATTATTGTTATATCAAATGGACAGAAATATATCTATAGTGAGGGGAGTGCAACTACTAGGCTATAGTGGAGTGTCCTAGTAGTTAACGAATGTTGGTTACACAAGGTTAATGAGTTTAGCCAGTTAATCTTGGATCGTTGGAGCCCATGATCTATAGGTCCATTAGGTCCCTCTGCTAGCTCATATCGGACTAAACCATAGAACAGTGTGATGAGTGAGTTCGAAGTGTTCGAATTCAAATTAGGGAATATGCGTTATATATATACGATATATTTAACTGCATTTTTGTTTTATTTACTAATTAAACAAAAAGAGAGAATATGATATATTTAAATAAGATTTAAATATCTTAATCAATTATGTGTCGAAATTGATTGAGATTGACATTTGAATTAATATTAAATATTAATTAAATAGTTTAATTAATCATTTAATGTTAGTTTAATTTGAAATTCATTATTCAAATGAATGGTTGAATTAAAATGAAGAAAGTCAAAATGTTGACTTCATGGAAAAATCCATGTTAGCGGAGTTTCGAGGCGTCAAAATTTGGTTCAACCAAACTTGCATGCTTGCCAAATAAACCCCACAAGTTTGAGTGGAGTTTTGAGTGTCAAAATTTGGTTAACTCAAACATGCATGCTTGCCACATAATCCCAAACATTTGAGTGGAATTTTAAGTGTCAAAATTTGGTGATCTCAAATTTGCATGAACATGCAAATATGGCTCTTTAAATAGAGTGATCATGGTACATGGAAGGTCTTCTTCTTGGTGAAAAACCTTGAGAAAAACCTCTCACAAACACTATCTTCACATATACAAAATCCCTCCCAAGTTTAGTCACTCACCGGATTCCACAATCCCGTTCTAAGGCTGGAGAATAGTGGAGAAGACACTAGTGGTGGTTCGAAACCGGTTCGTGAGGAAAAAGGAGTTTGAACTAGAAAAGGTTAGTATCTAAACTCATTAAGTTTTGATACTTAAGAACATGCTAGTTTTTTTACTATAATTGATGTTCTAAAAGTGCCTAAGATCCAAATTGCTTCCGCATGTGTTATATTAACACCATCAATGAGGCTATTTAGGAACGTGCTTCTTGATAGTTTTGTTGGATTACCCTACACGGTAGATCCATTCTATAGGTGGGCGTTGATCATGCAGGTAGTCAGTGAAGTTGGCACTTACAGGGGGTAGCACCCCCGACCTAGGTGACTACGAGCCAGCTAGCATTCACCATGTTGTCCCCACCTATTAGAGAGAGTTCTTTGAGGTAATGCCTCAATATCAGACATTGGTATCATTGCGTAGGCTAAGTTAGCTATCCAAGTGTGTGCACAACAAGAGGGTTTCCTTCTAGGTCAAGGATGTGATGGGAGCCTATAAGTTGCTTATGGAGTCTATTTAATACTCACCCTCTTTTCCCTTTCTTTTACAAGTATTCGTAGGTTGTCGATCAAGGTGGAGGAGTGTTTGAGAGTTATGAGGTTATAGAGAGGGTTGTTTCGGAAGGTCAGTCTTATTTTATTTTACTTCTATTTTTGTTTGTTTTCATTTTTCTTTTTAATCTCAATTCGAGTTTTGAAGTCTCAAAATTTGGATCGGGACAGATTTGAATGATTCTTTATATATATATATATTTTGTGGTTATAGTTACCTAGAATAATTCTCTCTGAATTGTTTTTCTTCAGACCACTTTAATTGACTTTACATGATCTCTTTATAAATGCTCAAGACACGCCTCTAAAAGACACAAAGTAAATACACACAGGCGGACATACTATTCATGTATCTTAACAAAAGACAAACCATGTACCTTAACAAAAACAAATTTCCATGCACCATACATAATCTTCGGGACATTATAATTGGAGCTTATTTTTAAACACGACAACAATATACTATTGCCAAATGTCACTCGTTCGCTCATTGACCCAAATCGACATCAGACGAAATTATAAGACGAGAAGTGCCCTTATTATGGCTTCTAAGTTTTTAGCATCATGAACTAGAAAATGACCCGCACTAGAAATCTCATGATATTGAATCCATGAAAGCTTTTGCGCTATAAAGCGATTCAATTCAATAGGAACTATGCGGTCTTCACTGCCTTGCCACATATGAAAAGAGCCCTTGTTGTCAGGAAATGGATTGCTCAACTCCATGGGATCGAACTCCCATTTTCCAAAATTACACAATAAGTCTCTATGGATACATTCGCGTTCCCCTTGTTGTACTATGTTGCACTAATTTTGGTCGGAAAAGAAAAAAAATCAAAACAAAAAAAGTTAGTTCGTTAACATACCTATGTCAAACATATTCATATTTTAATCATTTAGAGAATCATATAAATTACAAACTCATGGAAAAAGCAATAAATGGATATAAATATTTGTCTATAATAATACGACAAATATAATACATATGGTAAACCGTAATGGATGGCAAATATCTAGATATTTATTTATAATATGGTAAATTATAATTTATAACTAAATATTCTTAACAAGTTTACCATTAACGGTCAAAGGTACCATTAACCTTTGTTGAAAAATACTACTTTTAAACTCAAACTTTACATAAAATTGATATTAAGTTTGAAAATTTTGATCCAAGAATGTGTATCAATTGCAAAGAAGATAAGTACCTTATCTGGACGTTCCATAAGCCTTTTCGTTATGACTAAATCAGAATTTGATAACATGTCCTCATTATCCAAATTTGGGAACCATTTTTGTGTCATCCACCAGTACATCAACCAAGGTGTGTAATATGCAATCCAAAACATACGTTTATACGACTGAGGATACTTTGCAAAGCAACGCTGTGATAAATCAGAAGGAAAGGGAGACCACCAAAAATTCACAGTAGGAACCACTAGGGAAGCACCCAAGAGTCTGCAAATAAAGCTCTATCAATATATTTTTACTCAACAAAAATAATTGATAATGGAGAAATAAATGTCAAAAACACCTGTGTGGAATATATTTCAAACAACCCCAAACTGCATACGCTCCCACCGAACATCCCATTACGTAAAATGTTGTGCCAAGCTCCAACTTGTCAGCTAATTCTTGAATGTCAAATGCCTCAGTTTTTACTGAACGTGATGGATATGGGTCACTCTCACAATGACCCGCTCTATCATAGATTACTATGTACAATTTAAGCTCCTCCATTCGTTCCTAAAATTAAAAACATACATTTTAGTAATGTGCACGAAAACGAAGCGATTGATGAGTAAAAGAAGGGCAATAATGTGGTACTTGAGAGATAGGCAAATCCATATCTTTGCAGCTATAAAGGCCATGAGAAATAATGATGTTGTAACGAGCCTCCTCCTTACGAACTCCTAATTCTTTGTAGGCCAAATGCCTTCCATCACTGAGTTTTATTCTAGGTGAAGTGAGTGGAGGACCATTTGGTGATCCACATAGCTTTGGAGGTGGAGGCTTCAAAAGTGCTACAGAAACCCATCCAATAAAACCCACTGCAAATGCTACTCCGATTGCTATAATCATATTATTGCCTGCAAAAACTAATATCACCGATAAGGGGCGAAACTGTTCGACTGTGAAAAGAAGATAACTTGAATGATTAACATAAAATTTTGAGTCAGCTACAAGCTGAAAGGAAAAAAACACAACACACAAGATTGATGATCTAATATCAAACTCATGAATTCATGCATTTCTCAAAGTTGTCGGTGGCACCTTCACTTCTTCAGAAATTGTATAGAGTACAA